TTTAGCTCATCTTCAACCAGAGCCACGGCTTTCGCACAATCTTGGACACTAAGAACCATGATCAATTGTAGGTAAACAAAATGTAAGTATCAGTATGACATAATGATAACAGTCATCAAAGCCACCTCGTCGTATTACAAAATAACTCATAATTAAAAAAGTGCTAATTTGTGGGTGGCAAATTCTCTTGTCTCTAAAAAATAAACCAAGGCATATTTTGACATGAAACAAAAAACACAATGCATAGGAGACATGATTGCAATCGAAAAATAAGGTTTTACGAAAATTTCCAAACGGAATTATTTCACAGGTTGTTTCAAAGTTAGAATAATAAATCCACGTTTTAATTAACCCTGCAGAATAAGTCAAATATAAAATTTTATTAAAAAACTGACTATACCAAATTAAAATTTATAAATTTATACACAGTGTGCTAAAAAAATCAACAAAATAGAGCTAAAAATAAAAAAATTGAAATATTTTGAATTTGAACAATATTTTCTCCGTTAGTTTTTTTGCATCTGAGTGTACATTCAGTTATGGATAAATCTTATACAGGGTGGTCCTTAAATAATTGTACAAAAAGAAACCGTATATTCTACACTTTAAAATATTACGATTAAGGCCAAAGTGCTTTAATAAAATTTTGATATTAAGAAAGATACAGGGTGTTAAAGAGGAAATTTAAAGTTTTATTTTTCGCTGTAACTTTCATGTTTGTAAACATTTATGTATAAAAACTTACAACTAAGTATTACTGAATATCAGGAATTATAATTTGACGCATACTTTGATATAGCTGATAGAGGGTGCCACATATGCCACATATGTGGCATACATTTGCACGTAACTTTTTTGCTGTTTAAGTTATCGGTATTTTTGATACAAAATAAAAATAAGAAAGATACATTATTTTAACAAAAAAAAAGGTATACCTGTTAATAACTTTAAAACTCATAGTTTTGAGATAAACGCATTTTACAAATCAACTGTATAATTCTGATTTAACGCAATAACTCCAAGCAACGAAAGAAAATTATAGAAAAACATCAATACTTCTAAATTTTGGTATAAAATACCTTTAATAAAGTGATTAGTTAACAAAATATTAAATCAAATAAATATATCAGCAGGATAATTAATAATAGGATTTGACAAAATAACTAAATATTTGGATTTTACATCAAACATTATATGATTTATATTAAAATTTTTGTCAAATTAAGTGTTTGATATGTCCACCATTTTATTTACCACGACATGCATTTTAAATATGAATTTTAAATAAACGTATGATTAGGAACCATTGGTAATTCTTATTTACGGACATGCGAATTATCTTGTAATTTGAATGGTGAGATTTATGTACATTTTTCATAAAATCATTTTATTGATATATTGGAAGAATTGTCATCAAACTTAAGGCGAAATATGTTGTTTATGAAAGATGGTATATCGCCACATTATAGAGAGAGGGCACTGAGAATATACTTAAATACAACTTTCCTGAACGTTGGATTATTCGTGGTAGTCATATTACTTGATCTTGTGGTAAGATATTATAAATTCATAAAAATACCAAATTTGGGAAAGTATGTACGAATTCTTTTCATAATTTTACATTCAATATTTTTCTGTTACGGTACTGTAATGTGATCTCATTCAATGCTGTATTCTTAAGACCTTTTTATAATATATTATTTCCTGTTATTTCGTAAAATTGTTACTGGCTATCTCATTTATTATGTTTAAGTACGCACAATTTGGCTTTTTCATTTGTACTCTGTGTCACAAAGATTGAAACAAGTGTAAGGTTTCGTATTACTGTAGCAATTAACTTTAAATAATCGCCATTCAAAATCAGCCGACAATAGGGTTGGTTTATGGCACTTGCACACGAGTTGTTGACCACTCAACGGTCAGAGGGTGGTTTTGCCCTAGTAACGATCTCAAGATTCTCAAGACTTTAAGACAAAACGGTGAACGACACGAACCTAGTTTGGACGGTTCTCGTGCTATAGCCTCGGCGTCCCGGAGTCGGTACCGCGATCAACTCTTAGAATAGAATAGAACCAAAGGGTAAGTCTACATTCTTTGTACAGACAACAATAATGAGTAAAACCAGTTAATTTCATAATTAATTTACAATTGATAGTTGCTATTTTCGCTACTTTTATGTACAAACAAATATTGTATTTTTTCGTTATAATTATTTAACTTACATCATTTAATCAACGACCTCTTAAGTTTAATCCTAAACATTATTATGGTACTAGGAGTAGAGGCAGACCACGACTGAGATGGAGGGACGGTGTGGACGAGGACGCAAGGAAATTCGGCGCGGCAAATTGGCAACGGTTGGCGATGAACAGAAACGACTGGCGAAATAGACTGGGGAAGGTCAAGGCTCAACTAGAGCTGTAGCACCACTGATGATGATGATGATGATTATTATGGTACTTACAATAAATGTTTGTAAATAAAATGTTTTGATTTTATGAGTTCGATGAATTTAATTTATTATAAAACGTAAAATGTTTGATGTAAAATCATGTTATTCTGTTATTTTGTCATATCCTATTATTAATTATCCTGTTGATATATTTATTTTATTTAATATTTCGTTAACTATTCACTTTATTAAAGGTATTTTATAACAAAATTCAAAAGTATTGATGTTTTATCGATTTTTCTTTCGTCGCCTGGAGTAATAGCGGTAAATCAGAATTATGCAGTTGATTTGTAAAATGCGATTATCTCGAAAACGGTTGAGTTTAAAAGTTATTAACAAGTATACCTTTCTTTTGTTAAAATAATGTACCTTAAATATTTTTATCACAAATGGCAGTAACTTAAAGAGCAAAAAAGTTATGTGCAAATGATATCTGATAATTATCTGATAATTACACAGGTCTTTTACCATTGCTAGGCAACCACCTTTACACAATATATAAATAATAATTCTCACTTCCATATCATTGGATTTTAACTTAATTTTTTCAGTTATAATAATTTTATACACTTTATATACTTACATTTGTACAGTACCACATCAATACCCTTCTTCTTCTACTACATTCATCATTTTATCATCACTTATGATGTCATAAATTTCAACCTTTTATACTAATCCCATTAAATTGATAGTTCATTTTCAATAATAGAGATTCACTGATCTAGGCAATAAATTTTATCATATAAACAAATCTAATTGTTAAAGTCAGGTTCATTAATAAGTTATTATTCATTACTACAAGTAAACAAATTTTATAATTTCACAAATTAAAAATTACATTAATTTCGGAACATACTGAAATCCTGTCAAGTTTAGCTGTCTTTAAGTTATCTCCTGTGACATCAGCCATTTGGTCTGTGTCGTCGCTTCAACTGTCAACGTGCAAGTATTCGAGCTTAGGAGACATGTAGTCCCTAAAGTAAAATTTTTAATTTTAAATACATCCATTGTCATCGACCTACACTATCAACATTATCTAATGTAAAATGTGACACTTTACCAACCCAAACATGGAAGTCTTATAGACACCATATTTATATAGTTAGCAACAAATACTAGGCCATGGCCTGGAATCTTATATGAATGATTTGGTTCATTCCCCCATCACTTTGACCCCAGCGAGTTAATAAAGAGATATGACAGCCTATCTCTCTCACGAAGACTTTAACCAATCATAAACCAAATAAAATAATCAAACGACGCAATGTCAATTCTGTCAATCCAAAGTAATGACAGATCTTCCGTTTGTTTACAAGTTTTCAATTTTATTTATTATCTTTAACTTTCGTTTGCATTTATTCTTAGTAATTTTAATTTAAATTTGGTTACTTAATTTTTAAAGTTTATTTTGAGTTACCTATTGTACCAAAGAATTTTTGTGTAGTGCTAGTAACAAAACTAAACATGGTGAATTATTGTATTGTTCGTTGTGTACAAATCATGGAAAAATTACAAAAAGGATGATAGTAAGTTGTCAGGAAGCAAAAAATAATAGTATTTAACTTGCAAATATGTGTAATAAATATTATGTAATTATTTTATAACTGTTTTATCTTAAACAACAAATAAATTACGTATATCTAGAAAAATTTTGCATCTTTTATTTTAAATATCTTATTTGCCAATAAATTTTAATTAGTAACGAAATAGCACACAAGAGGCGCTAAAGAGTATGTATGTGAGGGGTGTTCATTCGAATTTGCCGCCAAAAGATGATTAGTATTGACCCCAGCCGCAAGGGGCCTAATGAACGAAATTTATACATTGAGTTGCCTATCTATTTCTACTATTATATTATTTATCTATGTACTAGGCACTGAAGATGATCCGTAGGGATCGAAAACGTTCTGCCAGAACTTTAAATGTGACGACACTTTTTTAAAAAGTTTTAACTTGTTTGTTTTATACCTGAATACACATTTGTGAAGTGTTTTAACTTCTGTGTTTTTTTTATAGATAGATGTTCACAAACATGAAAGTTATAATTAAAAATTAAATTTTAAATTTCTACTTCAACACCCTATATCTTTCTTAATATCAATTTTTTATTTAAGCAATTTTGCCTTAATCGTAATATTTTAATGTGTAGAATTTGCGGTTTCTTTTGTACAATTACTTAAGGACCACTTTGTATAAACACAATATTTAACTTAGTGGCTCTTATCCTATAATTTATAAATTGTTTAAAATTCAAAAAATAGTTTTCTCGTTTCTATTCAAATATAAGCGTATAAAAACTGTAAGATCGTGCGTCTGTAAAATGTTTTTGGAATCGTATTACAAGATTACCAAACAAGATATTTTATTCGGATTTTTTTACCATTTCCATCACGATATTTAAATAATCCAGTCAGTCCCTGTCCGTCTGGTGATGGTTTGAGTGGCAGCGCGTTTAGGATATTTACATTTGGGAAAACTAAACCCGCACCTAGATCCTATCAATTTCTCACAATACCCTTCTCCACGGACTCTACGACATACTTACACAGCAATTCGAGTCGAACCGTCTTTTCTGACGGCATCATCAGCTTGGTGTTACTGGCCTGGCACTTGTAACTCGAATTGAGATGATCTCTTGTCACCCCGGCGATTTTCAACTTATTTACCATCATGTGATTTCCTATCTCTTCTACGTGGCCTTCGATCAACCTCTCGTTCATGAACCAGGAGACTGTCGGGGCAGGTCGACCTGAAAAATGTCCTCGAATTCATGAAAAATGCCTTCGACAAGACCTCTCGAGATATCTTGATACGAATTTTCAGCGAATTTGATTGGAACATTCGGAATAAGAAGGTTGTTAACGTTCTCGAGAAGTATGTGGGTAAGTAGGGAATTTATATATTTTTAAAATACATACAATGCAAGCATTTTAGGTGGATATATGAATAAATATAGATAAAAATTTTTGTATTTAAGCATCAGTAAAAATAATAAATAAACAAGCTTTTGCTTGAAAGCTTAGTGCTAAATATCACAGTAAATTCTCCTTTTTTTAAAAATGATAGGTAAAAAAATTATACTGTATTATATAAATTGCAATCAACGACACAGAAAATTATTGAACAATATTGTTTAAATTCTACTTATCATATTCCTATCAAAGTTGTATTCAGTTATAAGTACGAAAAACACATTTTATATAGTAAAAGTTATATAATATAAAAATATAATAAAACTTTTTTTTTGTAATTTCGTATCTATAGTTGGATTCACGAGAAGAATTCAGTCTATCCTTATAGCAAACGAGGTTGCTTTTTAAATGCTACCCACGTTCTTGATCGGTACGTACAAAACAGGACCACGCTGCTCCTCACGTATGGTAACATTAAACCATTAACCATTGTTAACTATTATTTTTATTCTTTATCTAATCTATAATTATCTAATCTGTTATTAAATAGAATCAGCGGAGTGATTCCCACAGATTGGCTCAAATCCATCTTTGTCGCAATACCTAAAAAACACAATGCGAAAAAATGCTCAGAATATCGATTAATTAGCGTAATGAGCCACACTCTTTATAAGAATATTTCACAACAGAATTAGACGCAAATGCGAAGACGATCTTGAAGATACCCAATTTGGTTTTAGAAATGCTGTAGGAACCAGGGAGGCACTTTTTGCGCTGTACATCCTATTATAAAAATGCCGTCACCAAAGAAAAAATGTATTTGCATGTTTTTTGGACTTCGAAAAGGCATTCGATAAAGTATAGCATGTAAAAATTATGCAAATACTGAAAAATATCGAAATAGATCACAAGGATTTTCGTGTCATTAAAAATATTTACTGGAGTCAAACTGCTATTGTAAAAATTGGAGATTAAATGTTTACTCAGACCAGTTTTTTAAAAATGGACTTGAGAGACAACCATATGGAATAAAAATTAATGGGGAACTACTTAATGTGATTAGATATGTAGAGGATACAGTAAATTCTGTCAGGTAAGATTGAAGGTCTTCAAATTCTGCTTGATCGTATTTACGAGATAGAAGAGGAAATGAGCATTAAAATAAACTAAAAAAAACCAAACTTTTAGTGTTTAGTCGTAAACCACATCCCGATGCAAAGCTTTAATAAACGGAGTCCAAGTTAAGAAAATTCACAAAATGACATATTTGGGAACTGTAATGTGTGTTTGGGAACTACTGAGAAATAAAACGTAGAATAGCAATGACTAAAAACTTCATTCCCTTATATCACATATAAAATATAAAATTAACGTTTCAGCACTCATTCTAGAGTCAATATTAAGAAGGATTTGGTTCCGTTTAAATTTAGGATCTGACTCTGCATACTTTCCTCATTTGTGACGTACCAGCATATTGTTCTGTAGAAACACAAGAACCGTCAAACAGCACTAAGGTCATAATCTGCCGACTGCTCATTGTCGAGTGGTTTCACCCTGTGTAGCTGCTGTCATGAGACTGAATAGCTAATGAATGTAAAGTTCTGACAGGACTATGATATGAGACAGGCGGGACAAGGTCTCATGGCAGACATAGAGGATAAGACATTAGATTAGGTATTACTGATACTGTATTACTGAAGCTTGTTGCTAATAAAGGTGTACAACAGTCTGTAGTAAACATTATTACATGGCGCAGTCTTGTGGTTAATGAAGCCTGCTGCCTCCAAAATAAATGAAAACAAGAAGTTGTTAGAACTAGAACAATAATGAGTTTAGAATACCTCAACCATTATCAATTGAAGGTAACATGGCTGAAAACTTTCGGCGATTCAGTCATATGAAATTTACCTCTTGGCCAGAGATTTACAACAGTCTGTAGTAAATATTATTACAACTGTTGTTATACTCTTAGTATGCGTAAACCTCAGTAGGGTCTGTTTTAGCTTTCGCGTTTATCTAATTTATAACACAGCGAATTTATCTTTTTTCTTCATAACTCTATCACCTTGTTTGTTTATAAAATATTATCTACATCAAATACAAATACATACATTGTATACAAAGAGAATATATATATATATATATATATATATATATATATATACATACATACAAACAACAGAGTTTATTAGGGTTGCAGTCAGAATATTGGACGGGCTGTTAAAAAAACACTCTTTTGACTTTTTGTCTAGTTTTCGAATGGTTTTGATTCCTTTTTCAAGACACTAATAAGAAAAATATGTAAATATTTAAAAAATATTACAATTCTTCAGTATAACTTACTAGTCTTTGAGTTTATTTATAGAAGCATTGACACTCAACATTGATAACACACATTAAAATATAAAATTATGGAAAAAGTACATTCTAAAATCTTCTTTCTTTTTAAGAAATATTAGAGGCGCATCTTGGGTGGTTATACTTTTTAAACCTGTCTTAATGGTATGCAACATATTATATATACAGGTGTAATTTATGTACAGGTAAACATTTATTTTATTTTTGGTGTTTTTCTAGTAAATAACAATAAATGTTGCTTAGTTTATCTATGTCAGACTTTTTATTGATGCAAGATGTGTTAGATTTCATGAAACACATTTCCAAAAAACACGTTTTGAATGGTTCTTTTCCTTTGCCAAAATACAGGAATCCTCGAAATTGAATTCATGTTCATGATTGAATGAATGAATGAATTGAATTATATATATATATATATATATATATATATATATATATATATATATATATATATCATCATCACAGTCATTAACATCTTAGTAGATGTGTTGTGGTTCATAATTGGGCTTCAGCAGCTCGGACAGTTTGATTGATAATATTTCTCCACTGGTTGCGGTCATCAGTTATATGTATTGCCTCAGTATACTGTTTATTGAGAAGCTTTTTAGTAATGTCCGCCCATCGCTGTGGAGATCTTCCGCGTTGGCGTTGAGTCTGAGGCCTTCCTTGGACACCAACCGCTTCATTTTGTGATCACTTCGATGGATATGGCCAAAGAACTTTAAAATTCTAGAGTAAACGGTACTGGAAAGACGCTGATCCGGTTTAATTTCATCCAGAACCGAGATATTTGTACGGCGAGCCGTCCATGGAATTCGAAGCAGGCGTCCTCATGTCCACATTTCAAAGGCGTCTATACGTCGTCGATCTGATTCTTTGACTGTCCATGTCTCGCATGCATAGTAAAATATGGCAAAGACCAGAGTTGAAAAGAGTCTCTTTTTGTTTGTCATAGTAATGTGACGATCACGCCAGAACCCCGTTTAGTTCACTCATTGCTGCTCTTGCTAGTTGAATGCGTCTTCTTTTCGGATTCACAACTGCCTGTGTTGTTAACTAGAGCTCCAAGATATATCATAGATGAGACTACCTCGCATCCCGCAATAGTTTGGGTTTCAGGAAACTGTTATTGGCGATCAATAACCATGATTTTGGTTTTGTTGTAGTTAACCATGAGTCCAAATTTAGCACTTTCTACCTCGAGTTTTTTTAATAATTTAATAATTTTTTCTGGAGTAGAGGCTATATATATATATATATATATATATATATATATATATATATATATATATATATATATATATATATATATATATATATATATATATATCACATATATACACTACATAATTATGTTCTCTACAATACATCAAATAACGAAACTTTAATATCTACATGAATGCAATGCAGAATAGTTTTGTTATTTATTTTCGGTATAAATCAAAGCTTGATGCTTTTGATATATCCTGCAACATCTAAAAAGTCATTAAATATTGTACGGTTTATAAGTATACGGACACACTAGTTAACTAACACTGTTTCTGTGTTGCGAGCTCGAATATAAAGTTCTACATTTCAAAGCCGTTTCGTTCAACGGAAGTTTGAGGGTGATTGCGGTACGTATATTTACTGTTTGTAGACTGAAATTTGGATACCGCTTTAACAAGTGACACAATAGTACACAATAGACACACAATAGATACACAGTAGACACAATAGTAACATAAACTAGTAACAATAGTTTTAGGGAGGACAATGTAATTTAATTATGTCAAAAAATTGAAGTGTTATTTGATTACAGGTTGTATTATTGATATCAGGTCGGTCAGATAGCTCAGCGGGCTGTGCGGCTGCCTCTCATTCGCTTCACTGTCGAATGGTTCAGTGGATGTGGGATCGAGCCCCAGCTCGGTGTACAGAAAACAAAAAGTCTAACGCAGCAGTTTAAAATTCTAGATGAATCTGCGGCTTAGACTAGGATATGCTGGGATCTGATCGGCCTATGGTGGAGCAGTACGGCAAGAGATAAGGGCTTGCGGCTCGGTGATACTCCTCCATAGATCCCTACCGGACGGGTGTAACGCCTAAAAAAACCGGATAAATATTATTGATATCAATATATTTGTTCTTTTTTTAATATTGAATTTTTTTTTAAATTTAAATGTCTAATTTAAGAAATAGACAAATATATGTACAAATAATAAGAATAAGCCAAACAAAGAAGATAGGGAGGGGACAGATCGATATTATCGAGAAATATAGCCTATATCATTCCGGAGAACCGCAGGGACACGCAGCAAACGAAGATTATAGTGAATAAAAGAATAGAATTATGGATAACAAACTACAAACCAGTATAATATAGAATAAAAAGCCCATATACAATTAAAAGGCAAGATGGGGATATAACAAATCTACGGACTAGCAGGTAATGAAAAAGAGATAATGATAGAATATTACAATGAACTCCAAAATGCAT